GGATTCGCTGCAACGGGAGGAAGGCAGAAGCAAATCCCGCCAATTCGATAATTGTGAAAATTGAATCAGCCTAAGACTATTTCTATCACTTTTCACTTCCTCAGACATCCTTCGCGTCTAATGGTTTATTCAATTTTTTGCTTGAGCAATCGATGTATATCTTCTTTCATATTTCTTGAAATTTATAATTCGGGAAAATATGTGAATCAGTGGTTATATCTGTCGATGAAACAATAATTAATAAGGTATTGAACAAACGTCACCTACAATCGGATACAGCAGTAGTTGTAAAGTAAAAGAAAGTAGTTTACCAAAAAAGAATACCTAAAAATGGAAAGTAATTGTAAGTTTAACTGTACAAGGATAAAAACAAATTCGTTTATCATTAATTAAAATTATTATGAAACATAACTGACAGTTTCGATTAACAATTACCGTCGTTATAGGATTTGTATCAAATGTAGAGAATACAAAACTGAATGATAAACATCGGATTCTTCTTAGAACTCCAAACAGTAAGTATTAATTTGATCAAACTGACAAAGCTGGGATTGAGATTTTCGTCTTTCTTTCAAAAACCTCTTTGACACTTTTCTTGTAAAATGACTACGTTAAAGTTTCCTGGCAGCCGACGAGTGCTTTGAACTTGGTTATATTTCCCTGAGGAACAGAAGAAGAAACCAGAACGTAAGGGTGCGATATCACGAGCGTGCGAGGGAAGAAAACCTTGTGAAATAAGAAATCCTGAACTGGCAGTGTCTGCTATGGGAATACATGTTGAATCTAAAGATGACATTATACGTAACTTTCGCGTAAAAAGATTCTTTTCTTTCGCATACAAGAAATCTTAAATTTAATCTCTCAATTTAAATTAAAAAGAATCTTGAAGAAATCATTTTTAGCTTTGTTTACCATTAACTCTAATAAGGTAAACTTCGATCAAACATTTTATCTGCTGTAGCTATTGACTCATTTAACTTCATTAAAGCAAATAAGGGAATGATTTACCGATTTAATGTATACATATATGTATATTTATACGTTTAACGTAATAAATCAGCTGGTTTAAGAATTTTGTGATTTTCATTATTGAACAATATAATATGTTCTTTGTAGTGTATTCGACTTTTCGTTAGATAATAATTTCTTTTTTATGTATAATTATATTAATATATAAAAAATATCCATTAAAAAGATTCACGCGCATTGGGGAACTAGCAAAATAATATACATGGTTACTCTGAACGATAATAACGTAATGAAGCTTATGAAGCATATTCCTTATGTTCTGATATTAAATTTTACGCGATCCATAAACGAGTACGTCGGTCTATAAACATTCCTTAACCATCACTTCGATCGCCGTGTGAATTTTATTTCTTTCCTACCAAACCGTCTGCAGTTTCAAAATTTTATTGCTTACCTGGGACTGTTTCGAGTAAAGAATTCTGATTCACACGAACGAATTCGATGAAATTTCCGCGTGAAACGAGTGTTTCGAAATTGTTTCGACGTTATTTAGGGTCATTTCACGAATATCTCCAACCATGTGAATCTTTAAACTCAATAAAAATATCGCCGAATATGTCCACCGATTCATCGTACGTAAATGTGTGAGAATAAAAGAAAGAGTATATACAATTGTGATTTACCGTGATAAACCGTTCAAGCGTCGAGTTCGAGAAAACTCGTAAGTACACCCTTTCACAATAAATCGATTGAACGTGAGGAAGTTTGCTCGGTCAGCTGGGTTCGATCGATGGCTGGATGGGCTGATGCAAGTACCAAAGTAAAGTTTGCTTTGGTTGCCGGCCACGACCCACCATCGAATCGCCAACAGAGTGATAACGATAACTCTAGCAACTGCTCAAGCTAATACCGATTGTCATTAGACACCATACGAAATTCGCTTGTCAACACGCCGCGCATACAATGGAACCAATAGTCAAGATTGAGGACGATGACGCGACACGTGTCGTTTGTCGGTCGTTTATTTCCTCTTTTTCGTATTGTTTTTCCAACCGCAAAAGGATCGTAGCATTTGATTCGCTTATACCTTATGATATGTTACAAGAAACAGAAAAACGGATTTTTAAATCGCTACTGCACGCGGCTCTTTCGTCGGACGTACGGAGCAGATGCTGCATAAATTTCAGTGTTGCAGATCAATCCTTTACGATAATTATTTAACTCTTCATCGTTTTGTCGTGAAAATTGATTTCTATTTTACACGAACCACATTTTTTATTGTTTTCGTTAACGCGATATCCGAAATGTTTCTGTTATTTTCAATTGTCTCGGGAAGAAAATGTACGTTATAATTTGTTAAGATCTCGAAATAATTCAAGGCAATTATAAGGGTGTATACTTTATTCGTAGTACGTCACACGTAATATTAACGTAAATTAATAATCTTTTATTATTGATTTTTGACTTTTAAAATAATAATCTTTTATTATAAGTATTTTGTTTGATTGATATAATTTTTGTTTGTAAGTAAGAAAGCTTTACAGTATTGACAAATTGTTTACGAAAATAATGTAGTTAGGGTCATGTGTTAAATGTAGGATAGTTCGTAAAGAAAAGATAGAATTGCCGTGGAATTGAAGAAGAATAGCTTTGTATCGAGTAACAAAGGGCAATTTGTAAGGTTTGTGCAATTTATGCGATCTGCACTGTACCCGATGAGGTCAATTGTAGTTTATAGCTAATTGTAACAGACTATACTTTACGCACTCCATAATCTCATATTCTATGACGAATACCGATATTAAACACTGTGGGTAGTTTCATATGTAACACTCTTAACGATTAGTGCTTATCCGTAAAAGTATTTTAGTTATTGTTCTTGAGCACAGTATTGGAATGTGATTTTCGTTTCTCGTCGCTGATAATTTTTGCGTCTAATCGATGGCGCGCCGGAATACTTATACAAGGAGTAATTGATTACATCACCATAATTGATTATCGCTCAAGACGTTATATGACCTGGGAACTTATATTATAAACAATTTTTAGAAGTGTCATAGAATATAAAAACTTTCCGGTAAAAATCGATAATAAAAGTAGATATATACAAAAGTTAAAGTTACTTTAAAAAATTGAGAATTTACAGATTGTAGGTATAAAAACTTACTTAATTTTCTTCTCTTATGGGAATTCACTTGTCGCAATACATGTATGCATATTTCATCGATACTTATATGTTAAAATTCATGCAGATGATACTTTGTCGCGGCAGTGTTATAATATCTCAATAATATCCTTCGAGCGTGAATAATTGATCAATGGCGTAGAATGTGAAAAACAATGATAAAACGTGCGTACGCGTACGTATTTTATTATACATAAATCTATCATCTTACAGACTAGACGCAAAAATTAATTTAGTTATATTACCAGTAAGAACGTGTTTGTCTTGTGAGTGCTTAAATATGGAATTACAAGTTTTATCTAAGTAACCGTGTAGAAACATTGAGTCGATTTCCTTCGTAAGCTAGTATGTCATCTCCGAGTCTTAAATAAACTGTTTATTAAACACACTTTGCTGAAAGAATTAACGGGACATATCACCTAGAGTCTTGTCTCGACTTCATCAGAAAAAGTTAAATATATTCGCAGATACATTTCTTCCGACAACGTACATACAGATACTTTATGTTAGTTTACACATCTACAAAATAATCTCTCCTAATAAATCTGTTGCTACCTGTGTTCGTAATATAACAATTTCCTCCTATTACTTGTGTTATCTTCGACTCTAGAGAAAAGACTGATTACACATACCAGTAACATGGAGGGAAGTTCATTAAGAGTAATCTTGGATTAACGTAGGAACGTCTGTAGGAAGTTCAGGAAATTCCTAGAACATTTAGGAAACACTTCGTATACCTTGAAGACATCTTACTCGATGTTAGAACTTCTCTAATACCATTACTGGACTTATCGGACATAGCATTAACGGGTGCACTATCGTAAAATTAGGCTGAGTTTGTTTTCCATAGCTGTTGCCACTTTGATGCTTTTTCTAAAACAAACAGACGAACGGTAGCGTCCAGTAATGTGTCTTAATATACATAGCCATTCGTACCGAACTTTAACTTTCATTCCAAAACTCAGACCATTATTGCTTACAGTTTTGCTGGCCAGAAATTGTATTTTCTAAACACAGGAGATCGAACATTTTTATCTCTTTGTATTTACTAGAATCAAAATATTTTTCTATATTAATCTCGGAAACGACATCCCATCCATGTGCTTTCTTCGAAGTCACCGCATTTCTCGGATCAATGAGAATGCCTCGCTTGTGTTCTGAGTTTCGTGCGGTATTATTTACTTGAATCTGTTAATGCTCAACCCAAATGAGTCTATACGAATGCAGTCCATTAACAACACTGGTCATACTTACTCTTCAAACGAACGTTTGAAAATAACAAATTCCCTAAATCTCTGTAACAAATGATTCCTCGCCAGAAACACTCGGTAAGAAAGACAATTCAATTGTACAGCAGCTGCTACAACTATGCTTGTACGAAATCATTGTTCTAACCCAATATAACGTCTCTTCACTGTTCTCACCATTCGTTAAAGCGCATATTATGTCACTGCGATAGAATAATTATTCTCTATATTTAACATATACTGTTGCGTTACGTGTACCTATTTGACCCAGGTGTGTCATGTTCCTCGAACGAAACCTATCCACTGGGCATGGTGTAATCTTTTCACTTTCTTACTTCAATCAGAGAATACTTGTTCAACTACGAGAAGATAATAGAGTTTCACATCTCGGTGTTCTCCTCGGCCTCTTCATCAACCTTGGGCAACATGTAAACACTAGGAATCGACGGCACATGATCTTCGAGCTTCAAGATGGGCTTGCAGTCTCTAGTGACGTCTACCTGATTGAAAGAGTCCTTCAGTATATTGATCTCGTTCTCGTGGGCAAACAAATTGGTTGGTGGTTCGGATCCACATATATCGGTCTCGTCGGTGCCGTTCCTATGGCACAGGTTGCCAGACGGAAATTGTCACGAGGTCAACGCGAACGGATCGGTCGACAGCTCGTCGACGCTCGAGCTCGACTTCACCGGCTCCGACTTCTCTACCTGATGACTCAGCCTATGGACGATCTCGTCGTGGAGGATGTTGAAGCACATCGCCGTGAGCGCCATCCCGGACATTATGTAGCAGGAGCAGAACCAAATGGTCACGTTCCGCGACTCGTAAAGGCTTTGACGGGGGTAGGAACCGGGTACCATATCGCCAAACCCGATCGTGCTCAGGCTCATGAAGCAGAAGTAACTCGCATCTGCGGTCAAACATGAAACAGGATGTTTAGATACGCCGTATAACGCCTTTTATCGTGGCTGTAGCTTTAAACGAAAATGCAGTTCTAAAACTTCAGTGAATCAATCGTGGAGTTTTACATGAAAACCAGAACGATACGCTAATGTAAAATTATTTTGGAGTTGCTGCTTTGTGCAAGAGTTAACAAGGTACAAACATTAGACATTTTTTGGGGGTCATATTAGGTAATATCTTAACCTTTAACTGGTGTGACGGAATACATTCTGATTTTGCAGTAACATTGATATTTGGTTGTATGGAGCAGTAATGAAATATTGTTGGAGGGGACATTTTTTCGCGTTTTTATGAGTAGACTGCGGATTTTTATGCAAAATGACATTTTATGAACTGATTCATAAAGATAAGAGCAAGAGTAGGAATTTCTGGTAATTATTCGGAATAGGCCTATCCTCACCGATTTCAATGACCTTGAAATATGTTGTCAAGATCATCATTCTGAACAACTTTTCCCTATATATGTTACCGCTGCTCGGCCTTAGTTTTCAAGGCACTCAGGAAAATATGTTTCAATTTATAGGATACTTTTTCAGGTTTTTATTTATTAATTAATTATTATGCCACCCGAGTATAAAGTACAAAAAAGTTATCAGATCGCGACGGATGATAAAGACATTAGACGATTTCAAAAGGTTAAAATGTTCTTGTGAATCATTTATATATTATGTACTATACAAAAACAATACAACAAGACATTTCCTTGGTAATTTTTAAATAATGTGGGAATGAAAGGGTTAAGGAGAGTCTACAGCATTACGATAAAACGTTCAACATTGGAGCATGCAAATAATACGTTTGCCATTTAGAAGAAACACTACAACTCAATCTTATGTTACAACAATTGAAATCGTTTCTGACGTACTTTCCGACATATATCATCGGATGCATTACGATCACACGTGGTACGTTTTACGCTTTTGAAAGAATGTTTCTCCTCTGGGGAGAAATCTGGGATGTCTTTTGCACGTACCTACAAAGGACCAGCCGTCCAACTTGTGCAGAGTAAAAGCGCCTGCCACAATGTAGCAGAGCATTGCGCCGAGACAAATGCTGATTGGTGCGAGTATAGTAACGTTTGGCCTGTCACCGGAGCCAAGACTCGACACTTCGTCCTTTGGACTGGCCTTAATTTCCACTGTGCTCGTGAACGTTGACGCATTCGCCCGGACGTAAAAGGGCTCCTGTAACTGCAATTGCTGCTGCTGCTGCGCCAGTTCTTCCTGTTGCCGTTTCTTCCTCATTCGTCTCTCCTTCTCCTGCGACCGTGTCAATTTAAAAGCAAGTTTTAAGATCGATCTACGATAAAAGCGGTGCCACTTGCTCGTGTAGCGAGAAAAGCTATTTTCAAAAATTTATCTTGGCATGATCGATGTGGAACGATCTTACTTTGTATCCGATCTTGCAAAAGCATTACCGACAATGTAACGTGTAATGAATTATTGGGGAACAGAATGCAGTGAGTAACGATGTAGAAAAGTTTAACGACTTGTAAGTTTAAAAAGCATGTAGGTAGATTTAGAAACGCGAGAAATTCTATTTGATGCGTACTATCAATGCTGATACTACATAAAAAATAACTTGAAAATGTAGAATACGTGTTTTTGATATGGGGTTTTATATTTGAAAAAATGCAGTTTGACAATTGTCGAGTACAGCCGCTTTTGAACACGACCTGTATAGTGTCCGATTACTATCTGTCTCGTTTACTGGTTTGTAACGCAAGTAGAAAATACTAGTAATAGTCAGACACACGAGTTAAATGGTGCTCAAGCGCACCTGTACGCGATAAAATTTTGACATCGATGTAATTGAATACGAAGCCTTTTATTTAATACTCCTTTTTCTGGAAGATGTTAGAACTTCATGTACCTTCAAATAACGTAGGTTGGATCATTCTAGTCATGGAAATAAAAAATTTTCACAAACTAATACAGTTACTAGGTTGTACCACATGAAATTGTCGATATTCGAATAGTCAATAATCAGCTGCGATTAGTACATTAAATATGATCTACATTGTTTGTTGTACTAGTAAGAAATTATAACATTATTGTGCTCCTTCATCTTCTTTGATTCTTGAATTTTTATTCTCATTGTTTAATTATTGTACGTAAGTAACTAATATAATATCAAAGGAATAGTTTCCAATACTTTTCTAATATGAATTTAAGTTAGGTCATGGTAAAGATAGTTGAATTGAATTATGAAGTCGTTAATCATGACATTTATCAGATGATTTCCCAACAGAAGATCACTTTTTTGTTATCGGTTGTTTTGTCTGAGGAACAAAAATATGTCTCCTAATCGAAAATGCAACCTAATACTCACAAATTACAAATGCGTTTTCTGATTGAATTCCATTTTCCTCAGAACAGGGAGGTGCTTTCAATTGCAGTCTTATCATTCACATCAATTTTCAAGATATTCTACGGAGAATATTGTGCTGGATAATATTTGCATATTCACCTCCATTCGTCTTTCATCGTAGCAACAATAGCCGCAGTTCGAACAAAGACAGCAGCAAAGGGCGCGCGTAAAGACACCTCTGGCGCACCTGGATAATAGACCTCCAGCACTCGATAGGTAAACCAGCGTCAAGGGGATCCCTAGACTGGCGTAACCGGTGGTTGCGATCTTGCCCCATGTAGATTTTGGCGCTATACTACCGCAACCTGAAAAGAGACCATCGAATATTCAGATGATGGAAGGATTAAACGAAGTTTCCATTTCTAATTAAACACACGTGAATTTCAAATTTGTATTTTTAATAAACGTGTATGCTTAGCGTGAAGTTTAAAAATAGTGATTTTCTTAATCGGGTGAAGTCTGACTTTCAATGGTGTGATTACTCATAGGGTTAAAGCAATGACCTTGACCTTTACATATGTTGTTAAGGACACTCTCCTGAGTAACCTCCACGAAGTTTTAGCCGTCGTTCATGTTTTATTGAAAAGTTATTAGTAAAAAAGTTTACAACATATATCAGTTGTTTCAATCAGTTACACCTACCAACTCAGATCAGTATAATGCTTTAAAGTTGGTTACACACAGTTCCGTTTCTAACCAACTCTGATCAGTATAATGCTTCAGAGTTGGTTCGACACAGTTCAAGATGAAAAAGCCATTCAGAGTTGGTTAGAGTCTATCATTGTTTATATGCAATGGGTTAGTAGAAGTAACATTGCACAACACGAGATCTCAAGTAATATTACTACACATTGACCACACAATTTTGGAGTGTTCTGAATTTTATAGACAATGAATTATCATTAGAAGTGAAAATATTTTTACTATCCTTTTGAGCGACGATCAAAATTTTCGATAACATTCTTCTTCGCAACTTCCATAAATTTCGCACTTCTATTATATCGGCAGTATATGATTATTTTGTCCGTGGTCGAAAAAATTCGAACACTCATAAACTCGTGGCTGTTTCAAGCGACTATTTATCACAGTATCGACACATGGAGTAACACGACGCAATTTCCATAGAACACCAGGGTATTCGGTACCTTTTAAGCGGGTTCTAGAAAAAAAGAAATATTCCGCATTTCGCGAAAATGAAGAACGGAGAGGGTCGAAGGAAAGAGCCGGTCTCGCGATAGGAGGAAACGGGGTCGGAAAAAGCAGAGGGCCGAATCGATTGGGCTGACGCCGCTTAAGATAATGGATCGCCTATTGGAATTGCTCTGGACCGTGCATGATAGCGGCTTCGAGTCCATTGCCGATGGAATTGCGCTCGCGGAAACCTCGCGGAACTGCACGGAAGCCTATTCGTCACTGTCGTTTCGCCTTATCGTTCACGACGGTGTGACCCTTTTCGTATCCGTTATCTGTTACCATTTGTTAGGGACCTACGGCAGATTGTCAGCTCGAGTTTTATTGGTCGGAAAGCAACAATGTATAGCACGGTGAAAATGCGGAGTGCAGTAAATTCCGCTGATCTCCTCGCATTCTGTATGCATCTCAAGTCCAAGGACGTTGCTCCTTATCGTTAAATCTTATCTTGTGTATGTAAGAATATGAACTACTATCAAAAGTAGTCAATAAGAACCACTATCTAAAATAACTCATTACTTATCAGCTGTATCAAAAACATTTTAATGAATTATATAAGATTTTAAGGGACGCATCGGATTGTATCTTTTTTTTTTTAGATATCAAGATGACCTTGAGTGTTTTCAAGGTCAATACATCTTTTATTTCAATACTACGTTGTTGCCAATAGAAGAACGAATTCAACGATCTATAGCATGATGGTATTAAAGAAAAGATGCAGTGATCTTGAAAAAACTCAAGGTCACCTTGATATCTGAAAAGGATAAGATATAAAAAATTCAATAAGTATTCATCTGATGCATTCCTTAAAATGCTACATACTTCATTAAAACGTTTTCTGATACAATCAGTAGGTAACGAGTTATTTTACATGGTAGTTCTTATTGACTAACTCTGTATATGAGTGGTGTCCCAGTTTTTCCTGCAAAATTTTACTAGCATATTCTATGAGTAACAATATGAAGAAAATATCATGTAAACATACGCTTTTAAATGCTTTAGTACAAAGTTATAACAAAAATACAAGTCTTATTCAATCGTGCATATAGGTATAGACTGTCGGTTCACGTTACAATTCCATTTCAAAATGTTTACCGTTATTATGGATGCAGGACTGGCATCTACGGAAAATAGAATCTATTGCATTACTAATTTCTTGTTCATTTTCTTTAATTGCAGCACGTCACGAATCCTCTGCATTAACTCCTGACGCGTATTAATTTGTGTTTGTGTAACTTTTTCTTTCACAGTTCCCCACGCGTAAAAACCTATTGACGTGATATCTGGTGATCTTGCCCTATCTATCGTTGAGGGTAATAGTCACTTAACCATTGCAGTCGCAAGAAAGCTGAATTACATTATCATTTCGTGTTTTTGTTATAACTTTTTAACGAAGCATTTAAGAGCTTATGTTTATATATTTGTTTTTTAATTGTGCTCATAGAATATGTTGGTAAAGTTTTGCGGAAAAAACTGGGACACCTTGTATGTTGCATCAGGGAACTGTATTGAGTATCGATGACTTAGTTAAGGTCCATAATGTAGTCTGTGTTTCCATCGTCGAATCGAGAAACTAAAAGTGATTTGAATTATTGAAAGTCTATTGAAAAAAAACTATTCGATATCTTGAGTATTTTATAATATTGATTTTTACAGTTAAAGTAATATATTTCTGCAATTGTTCGATGGGTGTAACAATTGTTTGTCTTGAGATTAACCACCATCGAAGAAACCAGATGTTCGGTCGAGGGTTGCTAGTTCGAATTCGGTCGAATGCGATGCTACGAAACTCAGAAAACTCATTGGGAACATGTCCAAGTTTGACAAGCTGTCTTATTGTTAGACCAAGGAACTTATCCACAATGACCTCGTTAAGCCCGACTCTTGAACTTTCACTAGATCCTGGATAATGAAGATTTCCCGTCCGACAAGTGCAAACCTTTGACTCTGGTTTATTATAGCGCTATTCAAATATAGCTTGAGGTTGTTGGCTTTCAGTTAACCACTGACAAAATTAGTGTTCAAGATACACAGTCTGTACTACATACAGGGCTAAAATAGTAATATAACCATGAAGACTGATTTTTTCACGTGAAAACAAATTGAAAATATCGATTAAAATTATGTCATATGTGGTATTGTTTTTGAACAAAATTTATTTAGAAAATTCAAAGAAATCATCCATTCTTTCACACTTGTCGTTAATGTTATCGTCTGGTACAGTGATTTTTGTATTTCAACTATAAATCTTTGCTAAATGATTACGAACAATACATAAAATTATACTACTGCCAGTATTCACAAATATTAACACAGAAGTGATGAGGTAAATTTATTAGTCAAGTCTTTTTCAATCGAGCATTAGGTATATGAATTTTTTCAAATATGAGGCCTCGAGTAACAGTCTTCTTTTCAAGTCTTCACTATATTTTTACATCAGAAATTAAACCTTTAATTTATTAGAATGCACAAATTCTATACAGGGTGGAGTATTTAAATGAGAACATGTACATATTTATTGTCGTTATTTATAATTGTATGAAAAACTCCTTGGGACAAAGTTATATTATTTTAATGGGCACACGTAACGATAAAAAACAATTTTTCTCGAGGTCATTTTTTAATGAAATTTTAACGTCATCGATGTTTTCTTAGATGGAACCATATATTTTTCTTCCATATTCTTACAAAGGGTAAAATGACAAAGTGGATCACCCACAGAAATGTAGGTACCGTTGTAATAGTTGTAGGTTACCTTGCTCATATGATCTTCAGATATTTATTGTATATTTTACTTACATAGCAGTGAAGACTCATAATAAATGATTTATATGCATTTTCTATTACCAGCGACGTAATCGAAGCCCATGTTGCAGTAATTCTTTGTCTCGTATCTTCTGATGTGAATTTGTTATGGGCAACAGGATCAAATGAGCGGAACCGTATATTGTTATAGGCGGTAGAAATGGTTATTTTACCCTTTATAAGAATATGAAAAAAAAATGCATGGTTCCGTTTAAAAAAGATCGATGACCTTAAAGTCTCATAGAAAAGGGACCCTAGGAAAAAATGTTTTTTATCGTTACGCGTGTCCTTTAAAATAATGTAAATTTTATGTTCCCATTTAAATGCTCTACTCTGTATAATCGTTTATTTTTTTTTAGTAAATTTTAAAGTGAATTTTGTGGACGGTTTATACGTGAAGTTTCCTTGGGTACATGCAGGTTCTAATTCAGTTTAACACATACTGGCGATGCGGTTTCAACTCTGGTAACGAAATCTACTCGGCAGTAATGACATACGATGAGTAATCAATTAAACGTCTTCAAACCAGGCTGCGCGTAGCGTATCGACACCGAAACTTGCGGAACATCGTGGAAAGCATGGGGCGACATGATGTTACGGAGTAAAGTTCGCAACAACTGCTGGTGACGTTGTTGCATCTTTGTAATGTGCAGTAAATAGTTCTGGGAGTTCGACCACTCATCGAGACCATCGTGGTTACCGAAAATTCACGGTCCGTTCGAATTCGTTAATTATAGAGTCTTCAAGAACTTCCGTCTTAAATCCTGTTACGATGGCGACGATAATGGCCCAGACATTTCAGTTTGATCCGAACTTAAAAGGACATGGAGATTTCATTGGAACTGAAATAGATACTCCTAATATTGTAACTCTATTAAATCCTATCTACAATTTATCTATTAATCTTAACCATGCTAAGCTGACGCTAGGCTTCGAGTAAAGACAAATTTATCAGGCGCTGAAAACCTTTTCGCCTTGCCATGAATGCTCCGAAACGGATCCGAGTATGTCGCACTTATGGAGACATTACTGTATATCTATATTAGTTCCTAGTTTCGTATAACACAAATTTGCATAATACGGAAATTTTTTGGAACCTAAACCACCGTGTTATATAGGGTTACCTGTATTTACTCGTTTTTCTAGTAAAAAACGAAAGTTCGTATGATTGCCTTATTACCTGCAAAGGAAAATTCGGTTAATCTTACGCTGTTTAAACGGCTTTCTCAGCCGCGATAGAGTTAACTGGCAAACAATTTTTTATCCATCGTTTTTCAAAAACATCATAATATTACATCGAGGCACAGAG